TAACTGAAGATATTTGATTTCCTAAATGGCATGTTATGAACTAACATTTCTTTTTCTTTCTTCCCTCATTTCCTTCCTGCTTTCATACTTAAATGCCTACAATGTTTGAAGTTCTCTTTTTAGGACTCTAGGAGTCCCGAAAAGTCCCTATTTTCCAAGAACTTACAGGCAGCAATCCAAACATCTTCATTTTGAAAGCTTACTGCATGCAGCCCTGGAATTTATGTCTTGCAAGTCCTGCGGAACAAGGTCTTGGCCAGCGGCGTCTTTCCTCCTTCACCTCCTGGCTATACTCTCTTTCCCAGCTTCCTTCTATGTACAGACTCCTCAAGGACAGGGCTCTTTCTGCTTGTATCTCTCTCTATTCCTGGAACTTCGGAAGAGCTTAATAAATGTGTGTTGCTGGACTGAACAAAAGACTGCCCCTAAGTGCCAGGCATTAAGTATATATGGGATATTTTGGGGTTTTTAGAGATGAAAAGATCACTTCTGGGTAGGCTTACATTTAATAGGAGATACTAAATAAAATACACCAAGCAATTGTAAATGTTGTCAGTCAATTCAGTTGCGTCTGACTCTTTGTGACCCCATTTGGGGTTTTCTTGGCAGAGTACTGGAGTGATTTGCCATTTCCTTCTCCAGCTCATTTCACAGAGGAGGAAACTGGGGCAAACAGGTTAAATGACTTATCCAGGGTCACACAGCTAGTAAGTGTCAGAGGCCAGATTTGAACTCAGGAAGATGAATCTTTATGTCTTGAGGCACTGTATCCACTGTGAATAAGTCAGTGGAAAAAACATCAAATACTGAATTAAGTTGGGTGGGTACTGATACAAAAGGGAAGACTGTCTCAGCCATCAAGAAATTTACTTTTTAATGGGGGACGGTCACATATGTAGGGATTGGTGGTGGGGAATGCTTTGGTCTGGAATGTTGGTGAATGTTAACAATAGGGCAAGACATTAGATATGCTCTTTGCATAGTTCTGATTGATTAGTTATCTGAGTAGGAGGTGGAAAGGGGCTGGGTGACCTGGGGGCTGGAGGGCTTGGCCTTTTCTGGTTTGGTCCCTGGAGGGTAGGATTAGGGGCTTAAAACAGACAAAAGAATAAGAAACTTATTTATTGGCACTTCTTTAAACAGAAATAAAAATAGCCTTTCATTATTAAAAAAAAAAGACTTCATCTGAGAAAATATTGGTGTCCATTTTTATTGTACAGCCTCCAGTGATTACTCAGAATTGTCTGGTATTTTCAGTGTTAAATTAGCATTTAATGTGTACAATTGAAAACTATTGGAGTAAAATAAGGTGTCTAAGCAAGCCCACTTCAAGCTATTTAAATAAGGGTAATTAATAACCTTATATTCTCTATCTTTGAAAAATATAAAAGATGTAGTGAATAAGTACATTATATAGCTGATTTTTTTTTTCTAATGAAAGACTGTAATGCCAGTATTATACCTTTTGAAAAAAGTACTTTTAGCAGCTTTTTATAATATGCCTAAGAGTCCTACGTGGCATGATGAATGTTGACAAGAGATTACTTTATTCCAAATTTGGTTTTGTCATTTAGATCTTTGCTACTGGTGAAAATTTCCTTTTATTAACATTAATATACGTATCGGCATCTAGGGAGCTGGCCTGGTCCAGAATCAGGAAGACCTGAGTTCAAATCCTATCTCAGACACTTACTAGCTGTGTGACCAAATAATTTATCTGCTGTTTGCCTCAGTTTCCTCATCTGTAAAAATGGGTATGTTAATAACACATACCTCCCACAGTTGTTGTGAAGATCAAATATGAAAAAGCACTTAACACTGTTTGGCACATGTAAATATTAGCTATACCTATTGTTATCATTAGTAGTAAATGACAGGGCGCTAATGATGGACCTCTAAAAGGCCCAGGACTTTCTCACGTGGCCCAGGTCCCTGGCATTCTCTTGAGGCTTATCTCAGTATAATCCTTTCAACTATCTGGCTATGTGGCTTTGACCCTGTCCCAATTTTCTGCTACCTCTAATTTAGCGCAGCCCTTCACTGTTGGTTACCTCTGGACCATGCCACTCCTTAATTACATCTAGACTCCTTCCTCAGGGGCCCAGGTCCCTGGCATTCCCCGGGGGCACCCAGCCCTTCTGGGTCTTTTTCTGTTACCTCCCAGTCACCTCAGAGTACTTGGCTACTTCTCGAACCTTCCCACAGTCCTGTATAAAAGGTCCATCTTGCCTCCATTAAAGTGCTCAGATTTCCTTAAGATTCTGGCCTGGTTATATTGGCACCACAAATGCTCAGATTCCTTAAGAGTCTGACCCGGATTTCAATAAAGTGTCACAAATGGTATGATTCTTCAAATCTTGCCCACCTCAATCGGTGTTTTAATAAATGGAAGGAAAGAAGGCTTGAATTGACATTTCAGACAGGACCCCTGTCTTCTGCCCTTGAATTTTGGGGTTCCTAGTACCCCTAGACCTCAACATTTTGGTTCAACACCCCTAGACGGCAACAGTAAGCAGTCCTGTTTCTCCACTCTCTTCAATAGATTGTTTTCTAATGCTAGTAAACACTATTATGACTTGTTCAGTACATGTTTAGTATGCTTTACAACATGTTTAGTAGTTTAGTATTTAGCCATTATTAAAATAACCAAGAATTCATGCGTCACTTTTTATTTTCATGGCACGTGCTAGATTCCACATGAATAAAAATATTGTAAATCCACTTGAACTTCTTTAAATTGTAAAGCCATATATATTACTGTTATCTTCTTTTATTGGCTTCTTTTATTGCAGAGGCAGAATTATTGTTCTCAATACAAGCTACTTATGCCCTGAAAATCTACTCTTTATTTTATTTTCTTTTTCTTTATTAAATAAAAATAGTAATTAAAATACTTATTTATATCAAAATTTGTCATCAGTGCTTATATCACTAGTAAAATCTCAAGGATTTTAGTTATGCAGAAGAAAAAAAAATTCAGGCTTGAAAATCTTGATTTTTCTTAATATGGGTGAACATCACATCTGGCAATTTCCCCATCCAGAAATTTGCTCAAGTTGAAAGTGATTTTTGACTAGATAAACCATTCCAGTGTTCTTAGGTCAACATTCTGGTGTTTTAATTGGACTTCACCAAGACAACTGCTTTACACCTCTATTTTCTCCCCATTTCTACCGAGTCCACCACAATACTGATAAACTATTGAGGGCCAAAGGGGACTTTTTTCAGAGGTTGTTTAGTTTCTTTGTCCTTGAAATACTGGAAATGAAATGAACAAAATAACTGCCCTAACCAAAATGAAGCAAGAAAAAAAAATACAGCATGAAAGGTTGAGAGGAATGAAACAAGGTGGAAGCAGCGTTTAGAAAAAAAACGAAACAGGCAATCGGGACATACTGTGATCGCGAAAGAAGGATTGGTAAGCACCTGTAGCCTAGTACTTTAAAATGGGGGGGGAGGGAGTCGGAGGGGCTCAAATTCAGCGCTTCCAGTCCTACAAGACCCTACATTTATTCAAAAATTCATTTCTGCCATCCAGTGTGTCTGGGGTGACACTACAGAAGACAGCCCCTAACCTGTGCAGGGATACAGCAGCCTGCAGTAGGGCTACCGTGCCTCCTCCTCCTCCCGCTCCCCGTCTTTGTCCTTTCCAGGCAACCAGAAACCTAGCTCAGATGCCACAAAACATGGAGAAACGGAATGCATGTAGGAAATCTACTGAAGAAAAAAAAAGCGCAAAATACACATACACATACACACACACACACACACACAGGCATGCTCAGTAGGTTTTGCTCATTAGCAACACAGACACACACAACTGCGCATGCTCAGGAGTTTTGGTTCATTAACTAGTAGCTGCAAGGTCGCTCTTGCAACACACACACACACACACGCATGCTCAGTAGATTTTGTTCATTAGCAACACACAGACACACACAACTGGGCATGCTCCGGAGTCATGGTTCATTAACTAGTAGCTGCTAGGTCGGTCTTGCAACACACACACACACACACACACACACAGACACACACTCTCACACACCTGGGCATGCTCAGTAGGTTTGGTTCATAAACTAGCAACGGCTACGCCGACCTTGCAATTCCAACTGTAAACAGATCTAGCTAAAATCATTGATTTGGCACCCTCTTGTCCAAACCTAGCCCTTCCAAGCTCCATTTTCACGCTCCTGGGGGTAGTGGTGTTGGTGGTGGGAAGGGGGGGCAGATAAGGAGAAAGGTGGGGAAAGAGGCCGGAGGTCAAAAACTTCAGCCTCTCCCAGGCAGGTTTCCCGGGGAGGGGGAGGAAGGATTTGTCACGGTTTGATCTCGAGGATATTTTTGGCAGAATTTCGGTCCCCTTCTCACACTACCAAGTTCCACAGCATAAAGCGAGACAGAACAGAACGAAATGGCTTTAACTTAAGAAATAAAGGGGGGAGGGACCCACAAGGAAGTAAACACACACAAAGACGCCTGAAACCCTCAAGGTTTGCTCCTCCTCCTCCTCCCCCCTGCCCGGATTCCTTGAAAAGATGTGGACTTTCCGTTAGGTGGCTTTTGGGATAGGAAAAAGAGGTGGTGGGGTGGGGAAATGGCCCTGGAGCGGAAAATCCTTCCCTGGCCGGGAACCTATCAATCAGCAGGCCCGCGGGAGGGGTAGGGCCGAGCGCGCAGCCCCGGGGAAGGGGGGAGGGGAGGAGGTGTGCTTGGATGGGTCGGGTCCGCATCCTCCCCCCGCCCGTCAGAGCCCTCTCCCCCCCGCGCGGCGCGGCCTCGTGCGGGCTGCTCTTCCCCGGGCCGACGGAGAGCGGCAGTGTGTCCCCGCGCAGAGCGCGCTCGCTCTCCCTCTCTCCCTCCCTCCCTCCCTCGCTGCTCGCTCGCTCGCGCCTCTCCGCTCTCGCCTCTGGCCTCAGCGCGGCGGCTCCGGGGAAGTCGGCGGCGGCGGCGGCGGAGGAGGCGGCAGAGGCGGAGGCGGTGGAGGCGGTGGAGGCGGTGAAGGCGGCGGCCCGGGCTACCCCTCTCCCCCGCCCACCTGACTGGTTGGAGTCGCGGACGCTCGATGCAGCGTCCTCCCGCCTGAGGACCAGGTAAAGGCGGCCGCTCGGCACCGGAGGGTCGCGGGGAGAGCAGGGGCAGCCAGGGAATGCGGCGAATTCCCGCTCTGGGCCTCGTCCTTCCCCCGAGCTGGGGCGGGTGGTGTGGGCGGCGGGGGGCGGGCCCAGGTGCCCCTCAGGGGACGGCCTGGGCCGCCGCCGGGGGCGGAGGGGGGGGTCCCGGCTTCCCTCCACCCAGAAGTCTCCTGGGGAGACGAGCGGATTTCAGCCTAGGGGGGGATCGGCTCCGCCCCCAAACCGTGTCCCCCGACTTGGAACCCCCCGCCCGGGGTCCCCGCCGCCCTCGGATGTGGCCCGCCGGCTCGGGCCGGCCCCCCTTCCCCCGGGGCGGGGGCGGGGGCGGGAGGCTTTTCTCGGCGGGCTCCCCGCGCTCTCTGGTCGCCTCGCGACCCACTCTGGCCACCCTCCCGGGAAAGCCTCTTCTCCTCCGGCCTCTTCTCCCCCCGCACGCCCCCCGCCTCGGAGGCTGGGCTGGAAGCTGGTCTTCCACAGTTGTTTTGACATCTGGTGCATCTCCCTCCAGTCCTCACTCAAACTTTGTTCTCCTCCAGCACATGCTTTTTTTTTTTTTTTTTTAAACGGTTCATCTCTTCATTCACATCACCCGCCTGGGCACACTGGTTAGCTAGAGTGAGTGTCGCCTATTTATCTTATTTACTGTATCGCCTGCTCCTAATGTTTCTCTTTGGCTTGCAGCTTTTCTTAAAAAAACAAACGAAAAAAAAACTGCACACAAATAAAAACCAAGCAAAAAAACCAGGTAATAAGCCGTAACTGGCGTTAGACTAGATGCTTCAAAGTACTACATAAAGGTGGAATTATGAGTGTTTTAAGGTCCACTAGTATTGGGGAGCGTGGGCAGATTGCATCACCCTGGGCTTGCAATGTCTCTATTGCAGGCATTATTCATTCTTGATATAGGACTGGCATATTTATTTGCCTACTCTGTATCCTAGAGCCAATCAAAAGGCTCGGTTGCATGGAGACTAGTTACTCTGCTAGGATGGGAGGGTGCTATGTGGAACAGAGGAGCAAGCCGCGGTGATCAACAGTTCCCTGTGAAAACAACGATTAATTACCTTGCTCTTTTTCCTCCCTAAGAGACTATTTTTCTAGCATTTCTTTTTTCTTCCCTTTCCATCATTTTTTTTTCAATTATTTTCTGCATGCATTTTCTCTGCCCAACCTCATCCTCTCTCTTGGCATGGCTTAGTGGATCTAGAGTTGGCCCAGGAGCCAGAAAGACCTAGATTCAAGTCCTGTTCCCCTCACCTAAAGTCTGTGAGACCCTGGGCCTTAATCTTTCAGTGCCCTAGGCTACTCTGTGATTAAGGTGCTGGGGAAATTGCTTTGGTAGTGTGGGGCCTGGGGCAAGTTGTTCCTTATACTAAAAAGTCCCTGGTCTGCCTTGTCCTTGCCCTAAGAAAGGTCCTATTCTTGACCCCCAACCCAAACTAGACTCTACCAGCTTAAAACTTTTGGTGGAACTTTAAAAGAAATGGTAATATATCTTTTTTGTGTTGGAAAATGTGGCTCAATTTTGTGTTCTTCAAATGAGTTCAAGAATGTCTGTCACGCTTGATTCTTTAGAGCTGTGGGAAAGATGAGTCTTTGTTTCTGGAAGAAGTTTGAGACAATAAAGGAAGTTTCCTGGAAAGCTATTCCATTCTCTCCTGTTTAATTCTAGGATTGTTTATACTAGTTGTATAAGAGACACACACTTCCATGTATGTACACATCCATATGTACACAGTGATGAACAAACTCTGTAGATTGTCTATAGAGCTGCATGTCATCAGGTCAGATATTCTTTCTGTATCCACTTTGTTTTTCTAAATGTGTGAATGGTCTGGCCAGATCCTTTTGAATGGATCTAGGTATCCACCAGCAGGGTCTGCAGTGTTGAGTTTGATGCAGCTAGCATGGTGTCATCCACCCACAGAAGCATCTGGATCACCAGTATGGCTGTAAGAGATTCTCTTCAATTTAATAATATATCCTTCTTGATTGATTGAATCTGTACTCTCTTAAGAACTTCCTCTATAGTAAACATCTTTGGAGAGAATTTGTCTCCCTGTTAATATGCCTTGCCTGATTTTTTTAAGATCAAAGGGTTGTAGAACAAGGTTATTTCTGTTTATCTTTCTAGGAATTTTGAGTGGTTTTGATGTATGGATAGGAGACACTTTGTTGAAAGAAAGCTATATTTTGTTCTGTTGAAGCTTTTTTTATTGTAATCAACAGGCACACGGGGATCTTACATTCTCTACTTTTTTTTATTGTGTTATGGTTAATTAATCAACAAGTATTTATCCTTAATGAATACTTGTTGCATACCCCGTGCTAAGTGTTGGGAATACTAGTCACAATGAACTTCCATTCAAATTGGGGAAACAAGTTCACATAAATACATACAGCATAAATATAAAGCTAATAAATAAGTAAATAAATAGTAATACAAGGCACTATGGGAGGGAAGATACTGGCAGTTGAAGTTAGGAAAGGCTTCACTTGGAAGATGGTGCCTGAGCTTCATGTTTAAAGGAAGAGATTTTGGTTTGGAAGTAGGGAGCGAGTACATTTCAGCCATTGGGAATGGCCTATGCAGAGACTGAGATGGGAAATGAAATGTGATTGAGGAAGAGAGGCCAATTTGACCACATTGCTGAATTGTAGGAGGGAAGTAATGTTCAGTGTGGCTGGAAAAGTAGGTTAGGGCCAGGTTGTATAGGGTAGGAAGCCAGTGGAGTGGATTGAGTAGGGGAGTGGCTAGGTCAGATCTAAGCTTAAGGAAAACAATTTTTGGCAGCATTTTTAAAATGGAATGGAATGGTGAGTGACTTGGGGTGGGGAGATCAGTTAGGAAGCACTAATAGATTGTAGTTGGTGAGGGCTTAAATTAAAGTGATAGAAAGGGGGTGCTATTTGAGAGTGTGAAGTTTGAATGGCAAGATTTGGCAATTGATTAAATATGTGGGGTGAAGGAATAAGAGGTCCAAGATAAGGCTGAGATTATGAACCTGAGATATTGGACTGAAGTTGGGAGGGGGAGTGTTTATGGGAAAAGATAATGAATTCATTTTTAGACGTGTTGAGTTTAAGATGTCCTGAGACGTTCAGCCTAGGTATGTAGAGCTGGAAGTTATCTGCATATAGATGATAGTTAAATCTATGGGAGCCGATGAGGTTCTGAGAGAGAGAGTACATATGAGGAAAAGCAGAGGCCCCAGGACAGAACCAGCTGTAGTCTGCTGTAGTTTAGGAAGACCTGTATGTATATTGATTTAATTTGGAGAGACTTTTTGAATTCTTTTTTTTTTTTTTTTTGCCTCCTTGAAGTCCTCCGTGGGTGTGTGATTCGTGTGTAAACAACTCATTGAAATTTAATATAAGCTTGGAAAATTGGCATATGGTTAAGCAATTGTGGATGTTCTGAATATTGCCTTTCCTCCCTTGCTTTCCTGATCTTCAAATACTTCTGTACTCCTTAAGTAATTCCTTAAATAGGATTCCGTTAACCCACAAATCTCATCTATTTACACTTGGTTTAGTCTGCCTTTCCAGTCTTTATTCTGATTAGTTAGTTCTTTATTAGATTTTGTTTTTACTTCGATGACCACATCAATCATGAATACTGAGTTTGGTCCACGTGTGGTGTTCTCTTGTGCTGTGGTAAAAACAGTTATACATATCTTTGCACATTGCTTCCATTTTTCTTTTGTTGTCATTCCATTTTCATCTTTAAATACCCTTGGGGTGATTTTGTTTAGTTGGGTCACTTGACAAACTTTCTTTAAACTGGTTTTTCTTTTCACTGCTTTCTGTCTTATTAGGTGACATTGTTCAACCCTTTATGACTGAATTTACATTCCAAACCAAAGGTTCTTAACTTTTTTTTTCCTTTTGTCATGAAAATCTAGTGAATCTGTGGTTCCCTTTCACAGTGCTTTTAAATGTACAAAATAAAATACTTAAGATTAGAAAGGAAACAAAAGTTAGTGACAATAAACATGTAATTTTTTTCCCATCCAAATTCATGGACCTCTTGAAATCTACCCATGAGACCCCAGTGTTTTAAACAGTGTTGCCTTTGGCTGCCATCTCAAAAATCATCTTGGCAAATAAGTTAAATGTTTGAGTGTATGCTATTTTTGGTTCTTCTGAGCAGTGGAGAATATAGATCTTTGTTTTTTAGAGAGAAGTTTGGCCTCATTGAAGGTATGACTGACAAAGGAATTTATTTTGGTCTCGTGGCAATTGATTTACATGGGTTAGAATTCAGTATGAAATTATTATTCATGTCAATGTCCTTTCTGTTGTCTTGACCCATTTTTCATTGTCAGTAACTTATTTGAATAGGTCAAAATTGACTTGTTTTTAATTGCATACTATTTTTAGTATGCAATACTTTTCATTATTCTTTTAGCTTTATAACAATTTTGACCTTTGCTCTGATAAATCTATAATCTATATACTGACAGCTGATTCAGGAATGACTCCTACATTAGTAAAGAGTCTTTTCCTGTCTGTTAAAATGTAATCAAATTTGGTTTTTTTGTGGTATTATTTGATATTCACTTTGTCCAGTGCCTGCTTTTCTTAAAATATTCATGATTGAGAGGTATGAGGCTTTTGTATAGTTTGCACGTCTTTGGCCTCTCTCCTGACCCATGTTTTCTAATAAATTTCTCACTATTCTCACCTATTTCTCCATATTGGACATGTTGATTGTTGAAATGTATATTGATTTAATTTGGAGAGACTTTTTGAATTTTTTTTTTTGAACATAAGATGCAATTATTGTCCACGGAGAGTACCTGTGAGCTCTCCTTCTATCCTTTTTGTAAACTTCATGATTGCCACACAGTACAAGATGACCATTCCTTGGCTTTGGGTGTATGATAAAACTAACACTGCTAGGGGCAGCTAGGTGGCGCAGTGGATAGAGCAGCGGCCCTGAAGGCAGGATGACCTGAATTCAAATCGGGCCTCAGAACAAACACTTGACACTTCTAGCTGTGTGACCCTGGGCAAGTCACTTAACCCCAATTGCCTAAAAATAAAAAGATAAACAACAAAAAATTTTGTACTGGTGTACATATTTTTATAAATGTTATTGGTAGCTTTTGAAAGAGTAAATTTCATAAATTTATGGTATTAGAAGCCAGTTTTCAAAAAGGCATGGATTGAGTTCTGACAAGGGATAATTCATTTTTGCTTATGTAAATACAGGGCATCTTCTATAGAGAAACGATTGAATTTAAATTAACACTGTTGGGATCTAGTTCATCTGCCTCTTCTTTGGTCCTTGGTTCACTTCTTAAACAGGAAACCTTGTGATTGCCTAGCAGACTTTTTGATTTAAGCCATGTCAATAAATCAGCTAGCTAAGTTTCTGACCCCAAAGCAAGGTAAAACAAGGAATTACAAATGGTATAATATTCCCATTATTTCAAGAATCAAGAATAACTCTCCCTAATAGCTTGTCGCCAGTTTGCACAAATTGTATGCTAGTTTCCCTTACCTTTAAACCTCACTTGACCCTGTCACTCTTCAAGTTATCATGCTGTATCTTTCCTCATTTTGACAGGCAAACTCCTAGAAATAACAGTTTATGTTTGTTGCTTCCACCTCCTCTTCTCACATCTCAATCCCTTGCTTTCACACTTCCAAACTCATCACTCAACTGAAACTTGCTTTCCAAAAGTACCAGTGTTTTCTTAACTGTCAAATCCCATGCTCCTTTCTCAGTCCTCATCCTTCTTGACATTTTGTAGCTTTTGGCACAGACCATTCTCTCCTCTTTGTTATATTACTGTCTCCTGATTCTCTTAAATCTTTGTACATTTCTCAGGTTCCTTTGTTGGATCAGCTGTGTCCCACACATTAATTGTGGATGTACCCTGGAGCTCTTTCCTGAGCCCTCCTTTCTCTACATTATTAGCTCCCATAGGTTCAATTATCTTTATGCAGGTGAGTTCCAGATCTTTATGTCAGCTGTTGTCTCTTTTGAGCTCCATTCCAATATCACCAACTAAGTTTTAGATATATTGAGCCTTTTCCAGTATAGAAGTTCAACTTGTAGCTTCCAAAGTTGCCCTTATCTGTTGGGCCTTCTTTTTGGCCTTCTTATTTATTCTCTTGAACTTTTAAAAAAGATGCCTTGGGGCGGCTAGAGCACCCGCCCTGGATTCAGGAGGACCCGAGTTCAAATTCGGCCTCAGACACATAACACTTACTAGCTTTGTGACCCTGGGTAAGTCACTTAACCCCATTGCCTAGCCAGAAAAAACCCAAACAAACAAAACAAAACAAAAAAAAAAGATGCCTTAAGAAGGACAATCAGTTTCAAATCTACCTCCATGTTATATTTTGCTTCCTTCCCCTTATCTTTACTTACACAGCTACCACACTAGTTCATAGGGGTATCACTTCTTTTCTGGAGCATCTTCCTAGTTGGATTTCTTGCAGACTCGATCTACTCCAATCCTTCCTTTACACAAGCTGCCAAAATATTAATAACTAAAGCAAAGATCAGATTATGTCACATCTTCCTTGCTGAGTAAGCTCTAATTCTCTCCTTTTACCTTTAGGATCAACTACTATTTCCACAGTTTGATAGTTAAAGCCCTTCACAATCTGGTGCCAATCTACCCTTCTAGACTTATTATACATTACTCTCATTTACTCATTTTTTTATCAGATGAAAATGGCTATCTTGCTTTTCCTCATATAAAACATTCTATTTCCTGTCTCTTTTATTTTGCACTGGCTGTCTCCTTTACCTGGAATGCCCTTCTTCATCCCCTGCCATTTAGAATCCTTAGTTTTCTTCACTGATTAGTTCAAAAGCTCTTCTCTATAGGAGGCCCTTTCCTGATCTCCTATGTTTCCCCTTAGAAATTACCTTGTATTTACTTTGAATGTATGTTGTATGTATTTATGTGTATGTGTTGTTTCCCCTAAACACAACAGGAGCTCCTTGAAGGCAAAGACTATTTCGTCTTTGTTGTTATACCTTCAGCTCTGCACATAGTATCAAGCACGTAGTAGTAAGTGCTTTGTAAATGCATATTGGTTGCTTGACAAATAAACTTAAACATCCTCAAACAGATGATGTCTTTATGACACCGCAGGGCATTGGTTTCCATCCTTATGTAAAGACTCGCATTTAGGTGACATAGGTCAATACAAGGCTCTCAAAGAAACCTCTCAAAAGTGATAAAAGAGGGAATTGAAGACATCAGGTCACAGTGTTTCTTCACCCCCCCCCCCCCCCGACAATTGACGTTAAGTGACTTGCCCAGGGTCACACAGCTAGTAAGTGTCAAGTGTCTGATCTGAGATGGGATTTGAACTCCAGTCTTCCTAACGCCAGGACCAGTGCTCTATGCACTGTGCCACCTAGCTACCCCTAGGTCACAGTATTTCTTGGGCCGTATTTATAGCCAGTGACTCTTTTCCCAACTCATTCATTCATCCATTCCTCCGTATCTCCCAGTATATGCAGAGGGTGGAGATCAAAGCCATTCTGCTCCTGAGAAGCCCATAAGTAGAGCCTTATAGGCATTACTCTGTCTGGTATGCTAGAACTTTTTTATTTTTAAAATAAATATTTTTATCTTCTCGCTGCGTTTCTCTCTTCCCTCACCCCCCACCTCTTCCCATACAATACAATCAAGAATAAATAGGGAAAAAATATATATATTTAGAAAAAAACAACCATCATATTGGAAAAAGTCTGTTATAATACAGGTGGTCTCCCACTCTGCAAAGAAATGGGTGAAGGTATCTTCTTATTTCTCTTTTTTAGGGGTCGGTCATAATTTTGCCACGTTCAGTTTTGATTGTTTTGTTATATGCGCTTACATTGTTGTCATTTTGTGTATTTTTTTTTCGTTCTGCTTACTTCACTTTGCATCCATTCCTTTAAGTCTTCCCATGCTTTCCTGTATTCATCATAGTCTTTGTTTCTAGAACTTCTTTTCAAGGTATCGTAATAATAAAATTTTAAAACTGCATATTTATGTGATTTTGAGTAATATGTTCAAAATGCTGGGTACCTAGATAAAAGTGCTAGGTGTCAGGGCAACATGATGTTTATCTCAACCTTCTTTACCTATTCCCTTTTGTCTTTTTCCCTTTTTTTTTTCCACAACAATTTCACATTGATGACCTTGCATGTGTATGTGTGGATAAACAATATGAAACCTTGACATTATTGTCTTATTTTAAAAAAATATAATACAATAAAATCAGAACCTAACATAAATTGGGGATGATTGGAAGGGATTCATGTAATTTTTTTAAGTAATAAGCTGTGCTTAGCAAATTAAAAATGAGATTTGGTTTAAAAAGATTTTATTTCTATAACTTTGGGGATATGTATTTGAGTTTTTATATAGTTTTGTTCAGTGGTCATATAAGTTCATGAAATCCTGGTTTCCTGTTTTTTCATAGCAAGAATTGACACTATGCTTCGTAAAACAATCAACTGTAGTGATTTCAAGCCTCAACCTTGGTTTCAGCAGGGTGATATCAGTTATATACAAAGGGTAAGTATTCTGTTACTTACAGTTCTCTGTATAGATTTTTAGGCTTTTTTGTTTTAAAATTTTTTAAACATTATAGTAATTCTGGTTTCTTATCAGAAAGAGAACTGAATATTATGGATCCTGTTACTGGAGTCATTCATATAATATCAGAACTATCGTTTAGTCTTGGCCCTCTTGACTGACTGCTCATTTTCTCATTTGGTCTTCCTTATATTAAAGATATCAATAAATATTGGTGGAATATCTATTTGGTGCCAGGTGTTATTGAGATTATAAAGAAGAAGGTGTGTTATATCCTCAAGGAGTTTATACAAGTTACATATAATAGAATCGTGAAGAGATTACAAGGTATTAAGTTTCAGATAAGTAGTAAAGGTAATAGGTACTATATGTGTTTGAGGCAAAAAGAGAAATCATTTACAGCTGAAGTGGTCCTCGAAGGGGAAAGGTGAGATTTGAGCTGGCCTTTGAATGTGAAGAGGTACAGAAGAAGGTCTGCCAGGAATAAAACTCAAAGCCAGGCAGAAGGGAAAGCCAAGGCTAGCTCACATAATGAAGAGTAGTAAGCTAGATTGAGTTTAAACACCCCTTTGAGCAGGTTGTCCTGGGAGCCTCAACTGAAATGAATGGGCACCGTGGGAGAGGCTTTCACATTCTCTACATCTTTGTTACGACACCTGTGCATGTGCTTCAGTGGAGAAAGATGGGAAGTAGCCAGTTAAGAAGGCAAATAGGTGTGTGGAGGTGGAGGGGTCACCAAGGATTCTTGGGGGAAACCAGCCAATGTAAGTAATTATATCTTCTAGGGGCCTTGTCATTCAATCAGAATTGTGGATTGTGTATTTTTAGATTGAGATGGTAATGTGCTGACTCCAAAGGTGCTTTTGCAACTGTCGCCTTTTGTACCGGAAAAATCTGATCTCTGATGATCTGTTACCTCCTATTACAGATCTTAGATTTTTGAGTATTATTAGTAGTTGATGGGATATTAGAAAGAAAAGGAAATGGAGAGAGGATCTAACTCAACCTAAGCCTCTTAATTTTCTCTGATTCCAAAGCCAATGCTTCTTCCACGGTTCTTTGATATAATAAGCCAACACAAGAAGCCTACAGAATCTTTTTTTTTTTTTAAATCCGATTTAAGGATGATCTAGATGTTTGGTAATCTTAAATAAAGATTTCTGGAGGCCCTAGTCACCTTTAATCAATCGAAAGAACAAGTTCCCTATTCAGCAGAAGTGTGATTGTATTTTCCTTACTAAAGAAAATGTAGAAAAGCAAACTGTCGCAAATCATTTTCTTGAAACGGAACCCTTCAGTTTAATAAACCTTGAAGACTATGTGTGAATAAACAATTAGCACAGAACAGAGAGCACCAGCATAAAGTTCTTATTGAAAACAAAACAATATATTTTTAAAGAAGTTACTTCCACGTATCTTGGGGAGTAGTAGGAAAGTAGGTAGACTGTAAGGATTAAATTGGCATCATATTTGTTAGTTATAATAACTGATTTTTTAAAAAAAAACAAGGTTTCTTCTTCGGTCAGCAGTAGTTGAAAGAAAGAGTATGTATGACCTGTTCTGTCCTCTCTCTGTTGTGATACTTTTGGGGAGATAAGTGCCGGGAAAAGCCAGAATATAGTTGCAACTAAAGCCTTCCTAAGCATACTTTTGTACCCAGGATACTTTCTAATTTGAAATGACATAGAGGAAAGATTGCAGAAAATTAAATAAAGGACTTGGGTATGAAGTGTGGTTCTCCCACTTAAATACCCTTGTGTTAGGTAGACTATAACATTAGCCAGCAACTACGAATCAGGGATTGTTTTATTGTTTTGTTGATGGTCTGGACTTAAGGTAATGGAGAAAATGTTAATAATGCAGATTATATTTAAATATTTACCGGAAAACTCCTGACTTAGGATTAGATAGCCTTGAAAGTTCCTTCTAGTTCTGAATCTGTGCATAATTTTGGTTTTAAAAATTACTGCAAATTCTGATGTCGAATATCGAGTTGCAGGTAGTTGGAAGAGGACAGTAAACGTTCATAGCAAGTGAAAACTCAGTTATTGACAGTTATTTGTGACAGAATTTGTGAGTTTGTGGTGAACATTATTTGGTGTACTTTCTAGGCAGCTATTTTAATGACACACAATCCATACCTGAAACGAAACAGTAAATGAAGTGTGGATTTTTTGCCTTCCTCTGAAAGACTACCTGGGAAAGTTGGTATTCAGACTTTGCTTCTCCAAAGATACTAGAGAATCACGGAAGAGGTATTTTTTTTGACTTGCATATTTTAATAACTGAGGCACAGTCTTAGGAAATTAAAACTATCTTGCATTATGTAATGTTTTTACTTTTTTGAAATACTGGTTTTGTCATTTCACCTAACCTGTGAGGTAGGTAGGACATTACCTTTATTTAACAGATGAAGAAACTGAGGCAAGAGATGTCAAGTGATTTGCTTTGGTCAGAGAGGCTAATAGCTGAGTTGGAAGCTGCAGCTGATCTCCGTATAGCTCAAGGCAATTTTGATTAGATTGTGCTGTTGAACTATATAATCTTGATCTTTTCATTTAGGTTGCCGAAAACCTTATCTGCTTTACTATCGTGCCATGAATTAGGGAGGAATTATTTTTTGCATTTTTACATATAAGACATAAATGACTTCCCCCAAATTGCTCTTTATATAACCATAAAGAATGAGCTTGTACTAAAGAAAACATTGTAATGTATTAATTAAAATAATGCTTAATTATAAGGTTGTTATTTTAGAGGACTCAGTCATATATACATATGTACTTCAGATTACTAGGATAATTGCTTCTGGATAAGTTAGTTTAGAAAAGTTTGGGCAGAGATGAAAGTTTGTCTGAAAAAAGAAAAGTCGGTTTTTAGAATTATTATTACTTTTTTTTTCCAGCCTATTTTTACCTCAATTGAAATCAGGTTATGATTATATATAATTATATAAATAAATAAAGGAAGCTGCTTTAAAAAAAATTTTTTTTTTGAAGCATCACTGTCACTTCCATTTAAAGAATCTTTCCATGTAACAAAAAAGTTCAGTTAAGCTAAAGATGCATTGGCCAATACTTATAATATATATCTCATTCTGCAAGGAAGCTACTGCTTAAGATTTAGGGTGTAAATTTTTAGCATTATGCTAGTTTTACTTGCTTTTTCATCATATTCTTGTTTTTTTTTTTGTTTGGTTTTTTTTTGTTTTGTTTTGTTTTGTTTTTAGCGAGGCAGTTGGGGTTAAGTGACACAGCTAGTAAGTTTCAAGTGTCTGGTCTGAAACCAAATTTGAACTCGGGTCCTCCTGACTCCAGGGCTGGTGCTCTATCCACTGGGTCCCCTAGCTGTTCCTCATTATATTCTTTTCAGTTGAGCTCCTTGAAAACTTTTTAGGACAACTTAAGAAAACCTATGTGGCTAGCACATACAGTTATTGCTACTTCAGTCTGTGTGCTAAAACTTAATTTTTTTCTTAGTGGAAATTTTAAATGAGGACAGCCCAGAGGGGTGGAAATAATCATTTTGGGGGAGAAAAAAAAATCTTGGTGAGCCTTGACTCTTTAGAAATTTTTCTTTGTTGGTACTCTCTTTAAAAAAAAAACAAACCGCTATCACTCCTTGAACCTTTCATAAAACCTTCAATTGTAACAAAGGTACAGGTTAGGAAAAATATAAAGCAACTCTTTGACCATGTCTGAAAATGTGTACCTCATTCCACATGTACACAGTACCACCTCTCTGTCATGAGAAAAGAGGCATGCTTTATTTACCTTCAGTCCACTGCTACTGATTACTGTATTCATCCGAGTTCTGACATCTTTCAGTATTGTTTTCCTTTACATTATTGTAGTCGTTATGTAAATTGTTCTCCTGGTTTTTCGGGTTTTCCTCTGTGTCATTTTAATTCAAGTTCCTCAAAAAAAATCTTCATATTTTTCATTTCATGTAACACACCACTAATATTCCATTGTCTTCATATACCGAGTTTGTTAATTCTTTCCATAATCATTGGAAACCCCCTTTCCTTCCAATTCTTTGCTGTAACAAAAAGTACTTAGATAAAGGCTTTTATATATATGGGATTTTTCCTCTTGAGATATGTCTGTTATAGTGGTATCACTGAATCATAGAATATACAAACTGCTTAATGATTTTCTTAGGGTTGGCACCATTTTCACCAACAGTACATTTGTTTTATCTATCTTTCCACTGCCCCTCCAATAGTTACCATTTTTGTCTTTTGTCATCTTGTGAAGCCTCCTAGAAATTTGCATTTCTCTGTTAGTGATTTAGAGCTTTCTTTCATACTGATAGTTCACTTTCTTTTTAAAAAATGCTGGTTGATGTTTTTGAACATTTGTCTATAGGAGAATATACTTTGGTTCCTGCTTTAAAAGGCATCCCAGTTGTTTCTTAACAATGTAAAAGTTAAATGAAAAAACCTCAAAGTGCTTGGGATTTAAGCAATAAAGTTATAGTCATCCAGTCTGAGTAATTCTACCTTTCTTTTTTTTTTTTTTTAATTATGCCTTAGGCCCCGTTACTACTGGATTATGCAAGTTATTTGTCCCTGTTTCCTCTTGAGATATGACTTAAATATCATTCAACTTGAATAATAAAGGAACTGATTTTTAGAAAGCAGAATGCCAAGGAAAAGGAAAAATCTTGGTGGAAGTCCTGCTAGGAAGTCTCTGAATACAGAGGATGTTGCATCCAATATTGCTCATCGTGAGGAGCCGACAACTCTTCCTACAGTACCATCTCAGCCAAGTGTCGACAAAGAGAAACTCTTAAACAGCTTGTCAGAGATGTTTTCTGACCTGGATCCTGATGTAGTTTATTTGATGCTTTCAGAATGTGATTTCAAAGGTGAGAGAAATGAACAATTTTGAATTATTTGCATTTTATTCTTTTTGTTTTTGGTTTTTGGTTTTTTTTTGGTTAGACAATGGGGTTAAGTGACTTGCCCAAGGTCACACAGCTAGTAAGTGTTATGTGACTGAAGCCGAATTTGAACTCATGTCCTCCTGAATCCAGGGCCAGTGCTCTATCCACTGCCTCACCTAGCTGCCCCTATCCACTGCACCACCTATCTGCCCCTATCCACTGCACCACCTACCTGGCCCTATTTTATTCTTTTTTAATAACTTATTTATTTTTAGTTTTCAACATTCACTTCCATAAGTTTTTTAAGTGTTTTTTTTTTTTTTTTTTTTTTTGCTAGGCAGTGGGGTTAAGTGATTGACCTGGGTCACACAGCTAGTAAGTGTCAAGTGTCTGAGGCCCAGTTTGAACTCAGGTCCTCCCAACTCCAGGGCTGGTGCTCTATCCACTGCCCCACCTAGCTGCCCCTATAAGCTTTTGAGTTTTAAATTTTCTCCCCTTCCTACTTCTTTCCCCTCCCCCCCCAAGATGGGGTAGAATCTGATATAGGCTCTACATATACATTCAGATTAAGCATATTTTCCCATTAGTCATGATCTAAAGAACAATTAGAACTAAGGGGAGGAACCACGAGAATGAAGCAATAAAACAAAACAACAAAGGAAAAGTACAGCAAATGGTATGCTTTGATCTGCATTCAGGCTCCATAGTTCTTTTTCTGGGTGTGGTGGCAATTTCCATCCTGAGTCTTTAGAGTTGTCTTAGATTCTTGTCTTGCATTGCTGAGAGGAGCCAAGTCTATCAAAGTTAGTCATCCCACAATGTGGCTGTTACTATGTACCATGTTCTCCTGGTTCTGCTCATTTCACTCAGCATCAGTTCTTGTAAGTCTTTCAGGGTGTTTTTGCTCATCATTTTTTATAGCACAGTAGTATTTGATTACATTAATAGACCACAGCTTGTTCAGCCATTCCACAATTGATGGGCATCTCCTCAATTTTCAATTCTTTGCCACCACAAAAAGAGCTGCTGTAAATATTTTTGTACATGTGGGTCCTTTTCCTGTTTTTATGATCTCTTTGGGATACAGACCTAGAAATGGTATTTCTGGGTCAACAGGTATGCACATTTTTATAGCTCTTTGTGCATTTCATTCTTATCCTGCTCTAATACAACAAGTAGTGAGTATAGAAAAGAATTATCTATTGACAGCACTCTTAAAGGTTCTGTATGTTAGAATTATTTTCATAAGGAAATTAGATTTGGTCTGAGAAATTGCTATTGGAAACGTTCTCTACAAAACAAGTATTTGGGAAGTTTGAGAAGCTAATTTTTGTTTGTTTTGTTTATTTGGCTTTTTGGTGAGGCAATCAGGGTTAAGTGACTTGCCCAGAGTCACACAGCTAGTAGGTGTCAAGTATCTGAGGCCAGATTTGAATTCAGGTCCTCCTGATTCCAAGGCTGGAGCTCTATCCACTGTGCCACCTAGCTGCCTCCTGAGCTAATTTTTAAATGATGGATGACCACATTTTTGTTCTGTGGTAAGTATTGCAAAGTACAAAGTGTAATTTTTGCTTCCCAGCATGATAACTAGAAAGAGAGAGTTAAGGAGAAAAGAGTTATTAGCATCCAGAATTCTGTAAGTGTTCATTTAACTTGCTCAATTCAAGGAAACATTTACATGTAGACATATGTTATTTCCTAATTTAAAAGTCACATTAACACAAAATTCCATAAATTAAGTAGTTGTATGAGGAGGGTATTCTGTATTTGAAATGAATGGGCACTTCATAACACATTTATCAGTACAAGAACATATAGTTAAATATAATTCAACCTGGCAAAGCACACAATCAGCTAGCATTTATTAAGTGCCTGCTCTGTGCAGAGCACTGTGTTATGTGTTATGGATTCAAAGATATGAAACAATTCCTACTCTCTAAAAGTGGGAGATATGTATGTAAATAAACACATGTAAAATATACACAAGACAGGTGTAAGGTAGATTTGAGGGGGAGAGGGCACCAGCACTTGCAAGTAGAGAATTAGGGAAGATTTCATGTAGGAGGAGACATTTGAGCAGGGCTTTCGAGGACACAGGATTTTAAGAGATAGAGAACATGTGGGAATGCATTACAGGCTTAGGGGACGGACAGTGCAAAAGGGTGAAGATGGAGAGATATGGAGTGTCATGTGAGGAGCAGCAAGACCAATTTAGCTGGTCCATGGAGTCTGGAAAAGGTAGGTTAGAACCAAGACTGTAACAGTTTTAAAAACTGAGCAGAGGAATTTATATCCCAACTGAGAGTCATTGAGGAGCTGTTGGAGTTTATTGAGTAGGACAGTGACATGTTCAGATCTGAACTTCAGGAAAATCGTTTTGGCAGCTGTGTGGTGGATGGAGTGGACGGAAGTGCCCAGTTAGGAAGCTGTTTCAATAGTTCAGATGAGCGACAATAAGGGCCTGAACAAGGGTGCTGGCTGTGTGAGTAGAAAGAAGGGGAGACATTGTGGAGACAAGATTCATTAACTGATAGCTCCATGGGGTTTGGGTTAATGAAGATCCAACATAATGGGTAGATTGTGAACCTGGTGACTGGAAAATTTCTGGTGGTATCTGATCGAAATACGGAATTTTGGAACGGGAATGGATTTACAGAGGAAAGGATTGGACATGTTGAGTTTGAGATGCCTACATCCAGTATGTATTTGGAGATACAGGACTACAGCTTAGGGGAGAGTCCAGAACTGGATCTATGTATCTTGGAGTCATCTGTTTAGAGATCTTAGTTAAATCCGTGGGTGCTGATGGGGTCATCAAGTGAGAGAGCATGGAGAGAGAATAAAAGAGGGCCTAGGACAGAACCTTGGGTGATATGTCCTTAGTGCGGGGGTATGTAATACATGATGATCAGCAGAAGAGACTTAGAAGGAGTGGTCATGTAGGTAGGAGGAAAACCAAGAGAGAAGTGTCACAAAAAACACAGAGTGGAGTGACTATTCAGGCAGAGAGGTAGTCATCAGTGTCAGATTCTATAGATAGGTCAAGAAGGGGTGAGGACTGAGAAAAGACCATCAGATTTGGCAGTTTAGTGATGATTGGTAACTTTGAAGAAGGCTATTTCAATTGAATGATGAATGATGATGAATTTCAATTCAGTTGAAAGCCAGATTGCAAAGATTTCAGCAAGGCAACAAGCATCTGTTAAGCTCTTACTATATGCTAGGCACTGTCCCTGCCCTCAAGGAACTTACCTTCCAATAGGAGAAGACAACATATAATAGGGAACTGAAAAGTGGTGAAAGTTAGAGAGGGGCAGGAGAGAAGGTACCCTTTGTAGGAGCTTGTGGTGGGGGGTGGGGAGGGAATATGATGGTAAAATCTGGAGTGAGAAGCATAATCAGGATGGGATTGAAGCAGGGTTACCTGGGGAGCAGGCACCTCTACAAAATGGAGTTCTCTGAAGGAACTAATGAGAGAGAGGCTGACATACTTGAGGGGATATTCCAATGTGAGAAGGCAGCTGAGTCAGAACCCAGGAGGGGAATGAGATGTGAGAGGAAAAGAAGGGGAAGCAGTGAGTCTAGGAGTTTGGCTTTAAAATGGAGGAGATACTACTGAAGGAATAAGGTAGAAGTGGTAATTTTTTTTCTAGAAGTTATAATAGTTATGCTTCACTAATTTGAACTTTATGATGATAATTCAGTCTGGATTAGTTGGAAATTTTAGCTTTGTAGAGTTGTAAATTAATAGTACAAATTTTTTTTTTTTCTGGAGGAATGCATAAAATACTTTAGAATAAACTTTTTAGATAACCTTAAATACTTTAAAAAACTTTAAAGTCAGTTTCTTAAAGTTATAAGGGGCATTGAAATAATCATAAAATATTAATGAAGTACTATCTTATGGAAAGAACAATGGATTTGGAATCAGGAGGATCATATAAGTAGAATTTATTAGGTGTTTGACCTTGAGCAAATCATTTAACCTTTTTCATCTGTAAAATGAGGATAATAAAGCCTATGCAGCACTTCTTAAATATAGAGTCGTGAAAAATATGGCAATGGTAAAAGGTTTCTGAACGTGCAATGACCAAAAATTAATTAAAAATCAAACACGTAATGAATCCAAGACGTTTCTGGCAGTGCTTGCCTGTGTTGCATAGGGCAACTTCACTGCAGCCTCGGTTCTGAACAGAAAGCCATGTGCACTTTGCACTGTGCATGCCCTCAGGGGTCTGGAGTAGAAAAAGTTTAAGAAGCCTTGGCCTATAGTATCTATCTACCTTATGGGGCTGTTGTTAAGATCAAATTTATATATATTGCTTTGCAAACCCATCTAATGCTAAGATAATGCAAAACTCACCATAATGATTAAAGACATGGTATAGTAGATAGAATGCAGGACTTGAGTCCTGAGGACCGGTTCAATTGTCACAAACTTTTACTGTCAAGTCAGATAACCTCTATTAGCATCAGTTTCCTTATGTGTAAAATGAAGGGGTTGGACTCAGTGGCCTCTAAGTTTCCTCCCAGCTCTAATTCTGTCATCTTATGTGCATTTTTTGCCCTAATCATAATGTTTTTATCTCTCTCTTTATGAACAGTTGAAAATGCTATGGATTGTCTCTTAGAACTGTCCACTGGTGCCAAAGGAATGTCAGCCTCTAAAAGTTTAATATTGGAGTCAGTTGCAACACCGCTTGCTTTTGTTAATCAGCATCTTGCTGAAGGAAATGAAATGAATGAAAAATGCCCTCATGTAGATGAAGACAGTTCCCAAGCAGCAGATGTGTTCTCTGATATGCGACTTACTGAAGACTTGGATTCCTTAATACAAAATGCATTTGAGAAATTGAATTATGCTTCTAATGACCAAGTGTCTACACAGTCACTTTTGCCTTTGGAAAACAATTTTGGTGGCCCTAGTGACAGTGGAAGGAGTTTTTCTTTGCAAAAAACGGAAATGGACAGTGAAACATTTGAAAATTCTTCTGTGTTAAGTTCAGAACATTTAACTTTACATTCAGATTTGAGCAAGTCCAGAAATTGTAAAAAGGATGCTGGATGGCCTTTAACAAATAGCAGTCCTATGGATGCCCAGCCTAATAGCTTTTTCTCTCAACCTAATGACTCTCTAGTGGTATATGTTAACCCCCGTCAGACTCAGAATGCACTTTCAGATGCTCAGAAATTCGGATGCCAGCCTTCTCAAGCCTGTGTACATTTGGGTGCGAATGAATTAAGAACTGCTATTAATCCTCTTGTACAGATTTCAGACCAGACAGAAGATGGAGTGGGCACATGTGGGGATCAGAATGGTGTTTCTGTGCCTGATTTGTTTACACAATCCAAAGGATTTGGTTTCAAGCCACAGAATCATGCAGAACTACCACCACAGGGAAGTGACTTCAGCTTTTGCCCTGGAATGCCACCATTGCCACCCCCACCAGTGCTACCACAACCTTCCTGGAATCCAATGGCTTCTGCCTTTGAGCCTTTCCAAGGCATCCGCAGCTTCATTGCTCCAGTTGCAGCCAGTCCTCAGCCAGTGATATCGGTTTTTGACTACTGTGAACCTGGGAGAGTCTGTGCTTCTCTGCCACCCCCAGTTCTTTTTGGCACCTGGGATAGAAATGCTTCGCTGCCAATGCCAGTGGCATGGAGAAATCAAGATGGAAATCCTTACCAAGTACAAGAGCCTCCTGCTTCTCATACTGTTCGAAGAAAAACTCCTTATGTAGGCCAAACGCTTGTACTACTCAGAGGGCTTCCAGGATCTGGGAAATCCTTTTTGGCAAGGTACAATGTTTCTATTAAGTACCCAGGACGAGTAGAATATGATAGCTTGAGTATTTATGCTATCTTCGTAATGGCTTTCTCTATACTAGCTAATACTTGGCAAAAATCTTAATTAAACTATTAAATATAGACATTTTTCTGAAAATTTTATTCTCCTAACACTATGTTTGTCTCTAGCAATTCTTTTTCCTCTAAGTGCTTTTACCAGACTTTCTGCAGTTTCTTTTGAAGGGAAAAGGAGAATGAAAAATACATGATGATTCCAAGATCTTGAGCCTGGGGTTTAGTGCAAGTGTCATTAGCAAAAACAGAGAAGTTGGTAGTCAGCATTATGAATTCAGTTTTAGACAAACAAATGCTTACGTTGCACCTAGCCCTCTGCTAAGTTATGTGGATATAATAGAAAGTGAAAAACAGCCCCTCCTGTCAAGGAGCTCACACTGATTGGGGGAGACAAGTTAATAATTTAATGAATATAGAGTCAAGACACCAGCTAACTGACAAGTGTTTTCTAGTCTTGTTCAAAGACCTCTATTGATGGGAAATCCACTGCTGATGAAAGCAGACCATTCCAATTCAGTGTATGCTAGGAATTTTTTCTTAATGTTTTCTTTTTAGTAACTTCTTTCTATTATTCCTAGTTCTTCCTGCTAGAGTCTAATCCCCATTACCTAATCCTGAAGACTCTGGAAGGAATTTGTCATTTTATTTCCTAAATCTTCTCCACTTTCTCCCACTGATTCTCATATTCCATGACCTTGAGGTATTTTACTATCCTGGTTGTTTTCTGTTAATTGTTAAAAGCTTATGAATGTCATTCCTAAAATGTAGTGTCCAGAATTGAACACAGTATTCCTTCCATATATGGCCTGATTAGGGCAGAGTATTGGGGGACCTTCCCGTCTTTGGTTCTGGATATTCTCTTTTAATGTAACCTGAGATTGAATGAGCTTCTTAGCTGCCTTACCTCACTGACACATCTTAAAAAATAGAATACTTCTAAACCCCCAGATCTCTCCACTTTTCTCCCTTGTATTTATGGACTTGAATTTTTGAACCTAGTTATAAGGCTTTTCATTTATCACTATTACATCTTATTTTTATTAGATCATACCCAGTGTATGTTGAGAACTTTGTGGATCTTAACTCCATAATCCAGTACATTAGCTGTTCCTCCTACCTTTGTTTTATCTACCCATTTAATAAGCATGCCATCTACACCTTTATTAAAATCATTGATTAAAATATTAACCAGCATAGGATCAAACACTAGAGTATTACACTAGAGGCTTCTTTACAAGTCAGATCATCAGTGACTAGTCTTTGGGTCTGACCATTCAACCAGTCCTGAATCTGCCTAATTTTATCATTGTCTAGACTACATCTCTTTGTCTTATTCACAAGGATAACAAGAGTATCTTTCTCAAATATTTTGCAAAAATCTAGGTAAACTAAACAGCACTAACGGTTAGTATTTCCTCAAAAAAGAGAACGAAGATTAGCCCTATCACAATATGTTCACTTAAAAAAAGTTTTATTAATGCCTCTTCTTTTTATATAACAGATATTTTGGCTGTTTACCCTCCACTCCTACTGCTGTCATTGATCTCTCCCTTGTTAAAAAGAAAAACATGACCTGTTTTTGCTGAAACTATGTTGAAGTCAGGCTCATGGCCTATCATTTGTCAACTCTAGTTTCTTCCTGTTTTGGTGCATTTGCCTTTCTCCAGTCTGTTACTGCTCTCATTCTCTACAGCTGTTCACTGGAGAGTTCACTAACTGTAGATTTGCAGTCACATCTGCCAGTTCTTTTAGTACATAGGGATATAGTTCCTCTAGATCTGGTGCCTCTTACTATCTCCTTTATATTGGGTATAAATATCCTCTTAGTTGTATTTGTTTTGTCCTTTTGTTTTTGACAGAAAAGCCAGAAAAAGAAAAAGGATTGAGCAGCTGTGTCTTCTTGCTTTTCATTTAATTCTCTTCCCATCCACCACATGCAATGGTTCCATTCTCTCCTTTTTTTTGCAATACAGGTTGTTTGCTTTTTTAAAGCCCATTTTCTTGCTTTTGTTTTTGTTTGTTTGTTTTAGGCAGTTGGGGTTAGGTGACTTGTCCAGGGTCACACAGCTAGTACATGTTGAGTGTTTGGTCTGAGGTCACATTTGAACTTAGGTCCTCCCGACTTCAGGGCTGGTGTTCTATCCACTGCGCCACCTAGCTGCCCCTTATTGCTTTTTTTTTTTTTTTTTTTGAAACGCTCCTCAGCTTATTCTGACCTTTACCTCACCCAACACTGCTTTCATAGAACCGTGCTGTTCTCTGATATTTCCTGTTACCTGATTGGTTGCTTAGTTCAGTGCATCTATTTTTTTTATTTGTTTTCTCAGACGACTTTGGTTTTGTTCAGATAATTTTGCATTATTTTCCTTGCTGTTTTTGGACTTTGATTCCTGAGAATTACCTGTCTGCCTTGGACTAATTTCCCTTGAAGAATTTTAGATCATGATGGTCCTACTTTGAAATCTGTTCTCCCAAGATCTAGGGTTCATCAGCAATAGTCCTGGAGAATAGATAATGAAATATACCCCTCGTCATCAGAGAGACAGAGGACATAGTTTAGTACAATGTTGTATATAGTGTCACATGAAGTCACTGTATTGGAGATTTTTGTTTAACTTTGCTACAAGGAAGAATTCACATTGAAGGATGGGTATCCAATTTAGTATCCAGAAAGAACTGACAAAAATTACAAAATTTTGTAATTGTACAGTCAACAAAATTTGTTTATTTTTTATTGCTGTTGCTTTTTTGTTTTATTTTTTAATGTCCATTTAAAAAAATTTTTGAGTTCCAAATTTTCTCCTTTTGTTCAATCTCTCTCCATTGAGAAGGCAAGCAATGTGATACATGTGAAGTCATACAAAACGTTTCCATCTTAACTGTGTCACACACAAAAAGCAAGAAAAGTAAAGAAAGTGAAAAGCAACATACTTCAATCTGCACTCAGAGTTTCAATCTGCACTCAGAGTTTATCAGTTCTCTTTATGGAGATGGATAGCATTTTTCATCATGAGTCCTCAGGAATTTTCTTGGATTAATTTTATTGGTCAGAATAACTTAAGTTTTTCACCACTTGATCATCATTACAATATTGCTGTTACTGTGTACAGTGTTGTCTCGGTTCTGTTCACTTCACTTTGCATGAGTTCATATAAGTTTTCCCAGATTTTTCTGAAACTATCCTCTCTATCATTTCTTATAGCACAATAGTATTTATCACAGTAATGTACTACAACTTGTTCAGCCATTACCCCGTTAATGGATCTTCCCAGTCTCCAATTCTTTGCTGCCACAAAAAGAACTGTTATAAATATTTTTGTACAAATAGGTGCATTTCTTTCTTTTCCTTCATAGTAGTAGTAATATTGCTGGATTAAAGGGTATGCACAGTTTTATGGTCCACAAAAATTATTTAAAAAATAATTATGGTGCCCATCAAAGTTTGCCAGGCTTTCTTCTCCTTGTCTATCTCAAACTAGCAAATAGAGCTCATTTCCCCAAAGTTTCTACTTCATTTACCAGTTCTTCTCCATTAATGAGAACCAGAACCAAAATAGGATTCTCCTTTGTTGCTTCTTCCTCCTTTTGAAAGATGAAATAAATGATCATTAAGGCAGGTCAGTAAACTTAGTTAACTTTTGGCAGAGCAAAGACTCCAAGCAGATTTCCAGATAAAGGGCCTTTACTGTGTCCCTCCCCTGTGCCAAGCTTGTAATCTGTTTCTCACACTTTTTTATCCCCACACCCCCAAACCTCCCATTTCTGTTGAGGTGGTAAGTACATTTTTTTGATGATGGGTTGTTATTATATCCCTTTACTTCTTATGAGGAGCCAGGGTAGCAGTTGTGGCTAGGGAGCTGGGCTTGGTGTCTGGAAGAGCTTGGTTTAAGTTCCACCTCTCCTAGTTACTGACTGAGTGACCCTGAGAAATTCATTTAATTACTCTTTACATCAGGGGTAAGCAGACTTTTTCTGTAAAAGGTCAGATAGTAAGTATTTTAGTCTTTGTGGGCCAGGAGGCAAAATTGAGAATGTTATGTAAATACAAATTTCTATAAATTTTATTGATGAAATTATAGCAAAATGTAACAACAGTTATATATATGTATTTTTTTGTGCAATACAGATCTAGACTAATGAGAAGAATGGAATTCTTTTTTGAGGGATATTTTACTTTAATTGAGGTTCAAAGATTTTAGGTGTTTTCTTCTTTGAAAATATTTTTTCATGTAGATAGGTACTGCCAAATACTCAGATAATCCATGAGCATATGGTTTTAATTGAATCGAAAGACTAGTCTTTTTTTTTTTTTTTGGTAAATAGTATTTTATTTTTTCCAATTACATGTAAAGATAGTTTTCAACATTCATTTTTTATAAGATTTTAAGTTTCAGATTTTTTCTTGCTCCTTCTCTCTCATTTTCCCTGCCCAAGACAGCAAGCAATCTGATATAGGTTATACATGTGCAAATATATAAATACATTTCAACATTAGTCCTGCTGTGAAAGAAAGAACAGAATAAAAGGAAAAAGTCACAAAAAAACAAACGAACAAAAAAGTGAAAATAGTATGCTTGGATCAGCATTCAGACTTCATAGTTCTTTCTCTGGATGTCGATAGCATTTTCTATCATGAGTCTTTTGGAATTGTCTTAGATCGTTGTATTTCTGAGAAGAGCCTCAGCTAAGGCAGTCATAGTTGATTATTATAGAATGTTGCTGTTAATGTCTACAGTGTTCTCTTGGTTCTGCTCACTTCACTCAGCATCAATTCCTGTAAGTCTTTCCAGGTTTTCCTGAAATCTGCCTGCTCATCATTTTTTTATAGCACAATAGTATCCCATTATATTCATGTATCATATTCAGCCATTCCCCAATTGATAGGCATTCCCTCAATTTCCATTTCTTTGCCACCACAAAAAGAGCTGCTATACAAA